TCCTGATCACATCCTGATCACATGACCACCCCCAATCACATGACCACTTCCTGGTCACATGACCCGTCCTGTAAATTAACTTCGGCTTTTCCTCAGAATAACCAGCAAAACTGACCTCAGACAAAGACGGAAAATAACTAATTCAGTCACTTCAAAGCCAAAATCAGGAACGGTTTGGACTCCAGAAAAAAATCAGGTTATAAGAGTAAAAAAAGAAACAACAAGAAGTCTTCAACATGCTCCTGGATGGAAAAAATAAAGAAAACAAAGCGATAAATGGGGGGGCATATTCCTCCCAGAACATTGAGTTATTCAGCGAAAAGTCCTTAAGACAAAACTCCCATGACTACTGACTATAAACCATAAAATAAGTTTGTGGAAACCTCAAAACCAGTTTGTTTTTCACCCTTTTAGGTCTTTTTAATTCATAGGCCTTTAAATCTTTTAATAGGCCTTTGACTTAATAGGCATTTTCTTTTAATTACGAGCTCCAAACGAGCTACTGAGAGCCGAGTTCTGCCCAGAACTATAAAGTTCCACATGGAGGCTTTTTTTTTTCTGATCCGAACGCGTTCCGACCTGCAGGCAACGCCATCAGCAGCATTCCAGAGGGAGCCTTCAACGGCATTCCCAACCTGGAGTGGATCAACCTGAAGAAGAACCGGCTCAGATCAGAGGGCATCGACCCCAAAGCCTTCACGGTATCAGACCTCCTAACAGACCTCCTAAAGACCTTTAAGACCTCCTATCAGACCTCCTATCAGACATCCTAATGGACCTATCAGACCTCCTAATGGACCTCCTATCAGACCTATCAAACCTCCTAAAGACCTCCTATCAGACCTCCTATCAGACCTCCTAACAGACCTAACAGACCTCCTATCAGACCTCCTATCAGACCTCCTAAAATACCTCCTATCAGACCTAACAGACCTCCTAACAGACCTCCTATCAGACCTCCAAACGGACCTATCAGACCTCCTAACAGACCTCCTCAAGACCTCCTATCAGACCTCCTATCAGACCTCCTATCAGACCTCCTACCAGACCTCCTAATGAACCTCCTCTCAGACCTCCTACCAGACCTCCTAATGAACCTCCTCTCAGACCTCCTATCAGACCTCCTATCAGACCTCCTAACATACCTCCTGTCAGACCTAACAGACCTCCTAATGAACCTCCTCTCAGACCTCCTCTCAGACCTCCTCTCAGACCTCCTTGAGCTTCTCACTGAGCTGGAACTACGGAGAGGAAACCGACTCAGCGGAGCTCCAACACAAACATGAAGCTTTTCCTCAGGTTTTTCCCCTCCAGCCTCTCAGATTTGATCACTTCCTGTCCAGAGAGGCTCCCCGAACACGTGCACACCGATTTACAGGCTCACTTTGAGGCTCTTTAGGAGAACCTTCCTGAACAGGAAGTGATGAAATCAGAGGCTTTCTGAACAGGAAGTGACAGAATCTGAGCATTTCTGAACAGGATGTGATGAAATCTGAGGCTTTCTGAACAGGAAGTGATGAAATCAGAGGCTTTCTGAACAGAAAGTGACGAAATCTGAGCCTTCCTGAACAGGAAGTGATGAAATCTGAGGCTTTCTGAACAAGAATCTATGAAATCTGAGGCTATTTGAACAGGAAGTGATGAAATCTGAGCCTTTCAGAACAGGAAGTGATGAAATCTGAGATAAAAAGTGGGAAAAGTCTCATGTTTGCGTTTATTTTTTGGTGTTTGGATAAAACAAAGTTACATAAAGAGCAGATTAAACGGGTTCCGAGTCCTTTTTCTGTCCATGAAAAGCTGTTTTCATGCAAAACCATGAACTCCCTCTGCTGTGCGTCAGGGTCTGAGGATGCTGAGGCGTCTGTACCTGGACGGGAACCTGCTGGAAATCGTGCCCCCTGACCTCCCCCCCACCCTGCAGGAGCTGAAGATCAGTGAAAACCGACTGAGGGCCATAGAGGACACCAGCTTCCAAGGTACAGCCGGGGCTTATTTTTCATGTGCACGCTCACAACGCCTCGCTCAGAGCTAATGTCAGGATTTTGTAGGTATAAAAAAAGTGGGTTCTGCCTCAGTTTGAGTCACAAAAGATGAAAAAGCAAAAACAAAATCCAGAAAAAGACAAAGAAATGGGGATGAAAGACTTTGCCAGTCTGCTTTAGGGTCAGAAGTCAAACCCTGCTGGCTCCTGCTGCCCCACCCATTGGTCATGTGACCTCCTACAGATTTAACAGACCTCCTATCCTACCTCCTCTCAGACCTCCTACAAACTTAATAGACCTCCTATCAGACCGCCTATCAGACCTCCTATCAGACCTCCTAAAAGACCTATCAGACCTCCTCTCAGACCTCCTCCCAGACCTAACATCAGACCTCCTCTCAGACCTCCTATCAGACCTATCAGACCTCCTCTCAGACCTCCTAACAGACCTCCTATCAGACCTATCAGACCTCCTCTCAGACCTCCTTACAGACCTCCTATCAGACCTCCTATCAGACCTCCGATCAGACCTCCGATCAGACCTCCGATCAGACCTCCGATCAGACCTCCTATCAGACCTCCTCTCAGACCTCCTATCAGACCTGTTGTACTGTGTTTTGCCTCTGCTCCTTCAGGTTTGAGCAGCCTGGTGATTCTGGAGCTGGAGGGAAACCTGCTGAGTGAGAGCAACGTGGACCCTCTGGCCTTCGCCCCTCTGGCCCAGCTGTCCTACCTCCGCCTGGGGAGGAACCTCTTCCGCACAGTCCCTCAGGGCCTCCCAGAGTCCCTGCTGGTATGGAAGCTCCTCTAAACTCCAAATGAAACATTACCCCCCCATAGTGTTCCTGAATGAGCAGCAGGAAACTCTGTAATGCTTAAAAATCCAGTTTGCAGAAGCTCTGCAGCCCAAGTGATGTTTAAGGGTCATCAATACATTTTAAAATATTCTGTTTTACTAAGAAAATTAAAAAATTGAGCAAAGAACATAATTATTTCTGATTAAGACTTCAGATTGTGTTTATTTCCTGTCATTCTTGATCAGAAAAGAAAGTTTTAGTGGCTGAATCTTCTCAGAAAACCTTGGGGAGTCGGCTGAAATTTGGGGACAACTGGTTTTGAAATAATTTATTTCGTTATTTAATAGGATATTACATACATATATTTTTTTAACCTTTTTACCTATTTATTTTACATTAAAATTACATATGTATGTAAATTATGTTAGCTTTTTACGTTTATTTTTACCTGTACAGCACTTTGGCAACTTCGGTTATTTTAAATGTGCTTCGTAAATATATGTATATATACCCTGTTTGGTTCCTCGGCCTCCTTTTCCAGGAGCTGTACCTTGAGAACAACTTAATAGAGGAAATCTCGGATACTGTTTTCAATAAAACCAACAACCTGAACGTGGTTTCGCTGAGACACAACAAACTGGACGAGACCAGGATCGCCCCTTTGGCCTGGATCAACCACAGGTGGGGCCAAACTCTCCGTTCCCATGGGAACCGAGCAGGGCTTCCTCACTAATGGCCCCCGTCCTTCATGTTCCTCTGCAGGAACCTGGAGTCCATCGACCTCTCTCACAACGAGCTCTACATGGTCCCGTCCTACCTGCCCAGGTCTCTGATCCACCTGGTGCTGGTGGGGAACCGCATAGAGAGGATACCCGGTAGGTGGAGACACCTGTCTGTTTAGAACTCAGTTTCCCATCATGCACCAGTGAACTCTGTTTACAGTTCCTACGACAACATAGGAGAACCAGCCATTTACAGGTTGAGGAATCATTGTGTTTTGGAGCATGGAACAGTTTGATTTATTTGATAAGGAGGTCTTTAGGAGGTCTGTTAGGAGGTTTGATAGGAGGTCTGATAGGTCTGATTGGTCTGATAGGAGGTCTTTAGGAGGTCTGATAGGAGGCCTGATAGGAGGTCTGGTAGGAGGTCTTTAGGAGGTTTGATTGGTCTGATAGGAGGTCTTTAGGAGGTCTGATAGGAGGTCTGGTAGGAGGTCTTTAGGAGGTTTGATTGGTCTGATAGGAGGTCTTTAGGAGGTCTGATAGGAGGTCTTTAGGAGGTCTGATAGGAGGTCTTTAGGAGGTCCGATAGTAAGTCTGTTAGGAGGTCTTTAGGAGGTCTGATAGGAGGCTGTTAGGAGGTCTTTAGAAGGTCTTTAGAA